CCCTCGCCCCCCCCCCCCCCCATAAACTTCCTATACTCTTAACTTCTGAGGTCTCTCATATATTTAGTCAGACAACTATTTCCCCTCGGAGGGTGTGCATCCATTTACATCGACGGCACTTGCATGCAAACATGGCAAAGGCTGTCTCAAACTTTCAAATAATCCTTGGAATGCCAGGCTCTAGGCAGCTTCCCGAAGTACTCGCTATACATAATTCTGTTCAAGGCAAACCGTTTTACGCACCGTGTGGGTATTTATGCCTGCTGAGGAACTGTTTTCTCATCTCTGGGTGCAGGCACTGTCTATATCCTCGTATGAATATATACTCAGAAGTATAGGTTAGCGTAGCGGTATGTGCAGAAGCAGAACAATAGCTTACCTAGAGAAGGATTTCTCTTCCTAATGTGCAGGGAAGAGACATCTGCTACTCAAATCTCTTCACATGGCTCCGGGTTAAACTAGGGAGAGTTTTCAATTGACAGCAGCTGTCTGAGCGGCATCCCGGGAAGGTTCCTCTTGCTCCAGCCCCAGTGACTGAACTCTGCTGGGCACAGTCACATCTCGTTTATACACAGAGTGTCCTCTTCTAAAGCAAGCAGCCAGCTGGAACGATTCAAACCTCTCTTCAGCACACCGTTAAAAATGCAGCTTCCTTCTTGGACGCGGGGGGTTACACCGGGGAGCAACCAGGCGACAGCAAAAAGGCTGCGAGAACTATTTAATCACCCAAATACCAGCTGCTCCCGTTACTACTGCCGGTGCTGCCGCCGTGCCTCCTGTTTGCTGTAGTCAGCCTCCCTCTCCCTCGTATCTACACGAGCATCGAGGCGGCTTTGCAGGGTGGCGATTGGCAGAAGCAGCCAATTCCTCCAGCTAATCAACCCCCAGACTTTCAAGGACTCGGAGCAGCTCTGATGTCATTCCCGACCGAGGGGGGATGCTTCACGCCAGGACGCGGCGACGGAGGCAAATTCGGAGATGAGCCGCGTTCCTCTCCCGCCGCCGTGATTGATTAGATGCTCCGGGAGGATTTGCATAATCTGTCATTGTGCAGTTGGACCACCTCCCCTCCTGCCCGCCCGCCCAAAATGCGGGAGGAAAATGCCACTTTTGGCTTCTGATTTTACACCTGGAGTCTGCAGCTGAAAGCCTGGAAAAAGGGAAAAGTTGAAAGAGTCATTTTCTGGCAGGAGAATGCTTGAGCCCCCAGCTATGCCCCCTCCTTCCTCCCCCCTGCCCCCTTCATCCCCAGGTACTAAAGGAGGCTCAAAAAAAATCACAATACCACAAGACTTTTTGGTTCCTACTCTTGTTAGGTCACAGATAAGATCACCGGGTACAACAAAGGTGGTTTTTAATGCATGACCAAAATCAAGCAGAGGTTGCCCAGCAAGTTGGTTACAAACGATCTCCCTGACACCAGCGCTGGGTGGGTACCAGCAGACGTGCGGTGCTCAGAGGTGCAAAGTGTTTTCTTACTGCATGCAACAAATTCCACCTATTTGTTGCATAATTTCTTATTAAAATCCTTTATCTAATCCAGCTAGAGATGAAACCTACCTCCATAGCCAAGAAACATGATTGTCATGCGACTTTAAATTGTATTACAGAGGAAAAACTAAACACTTTCTATATTAAAAAAATTAGATTTTATACCAATCTAATTTTCAATTTTTGCCAGCTTGACACCTTTCACTCCAAACCCGTTTTTCGTACGATACACCTTGGAATTGAAATTCAGCCAATTCTGTGCAGCAAATGTGAGGAGAAAATAGTTTTGTTCAAGGAGACTGGAACAAACCCATTCTGAGATGATGAATGATGCTGTAAACTCAGATTTGAATCATAGGAGGGTCAGCTCAACCTTTCGTGTTTCCAAAATAGTGTAAATAAATGGTGTTCCATGCAGTTTGCTATTTACATCCTTCAGCTGGGACCTTCTACATGAAGAGCTATTTGCTCTTTGTGAATATCCAAGTTTCAAAGATGGTAGATATTTCTGACTGGGGACTAATTTATTCCTTCTGGCTAAATTAGAAACTGAGGGGAAAATTAAAATTCAGAGTCTGTCTGAGTCATTTCCTGCAATTTCTCATTACAAAGCACTTTCTGGGGGTCTTTTAAAAATGCCTTACACCTATGGCTGGCTCTGGATTTGGGATTTGTTTTCCAAAGACTCTCGCGGAGGTTGGGTGTGGGGCTCCCACTGCAGCTGGGTGGTGAGCGGGTGCCTCCCTGCACCCTGTGTGAACATCAGGACTTAAGTCAGGCTGTAAACTAAAACCTCCAAATCAAGTGAGAGAGTCTTCTCCCAACATAAGGAAGACTTCTGGTGCAGTTGGTCGAAAACCACCAAAAAAATTGCAAGAGCTTCCTATTACTAATCTGATGGTGCGGAAAGAAAACGTCCAGTTGTTTCGTTCCTCTTTCTACTCGTATACTTGACTGCTAGCTGTATGTCGAGCGCTGGAGGCATCCCTGGGAGCAGAAGGGTTTGGCCACGGGGTGCGAGCGTGCTGGAGGACGGCTCTGGGCTGCCGCCAGATGTGGTGGGACCAGGGGTCTGCCCCTTTGAAGCCACTGCCGCAGATGTTCCTAGGGCGGGCCCGCAGCCAAGGGGG